ATGGCTACTTGCTGCTGCTAAATAAGAGGAACACAGTAATAACATGTACAGAATCTCATCAACTTACCGTTTGATGACAATCAACTCATCATCACAGATGCGTTCTTGCACCACTTCATCTGCCTGGCCCAGCATACTGGCATCAAAACTCTCTTCACCTTCAAGATTTGCCAACGTCAATGCCATTGTTGCTGCAGAACAACAAACCAAACACCAAATTAGGAAATAAAAAAATCAACAACATGGCTGCACATACCAGGACGCAAGGGAGCTGCATGCAGGGTGCAAAGAAAACTAGTTTTCTGGCTGGCCATGTGGCCAAGCCATACCTCACTGTGCACTAGACCAAAAGTCATTCTCACTAGCCCCTGAAAATCCATCTCTTACAGTAGTTTTGTAATTTGAATTTTCCCCAAAGTTTTTTAAAAAAAGTTTACTTGCCCAAACAGAGTCCACTAGTCCGTCTGCAAAGTCCACTAGCTCCATGCTATCAGACATGACTTCCTTTGTTTGCTGGAGGGGGGGGGNAGTGCAGGGACTCACATGAGTTATATGCAGCAGCAGGATCAAGATGAGAACTAAGTTGAGCACATGCAAGAAACTGTAGCTGGGACATGTTGCAGTGGCATGTCCCCTTGGGTGCTAATACTTCAAGTCCTGTGTTTAAGCAGGTTTAGAGGTACATTAATTTTGTCCCACAAGTTGAACAGCAATCTAAAACACACTGCATATTCAGGGACATGTTGTGGGGACAAAATTTTGAGGGATGCAATATCAACTCATATGAACAGTACAAATTCTTGCTGCTCCCAGCTACATGCTGCTGCAGCATGTAACTGCAACCCTATATGTGGGCACTTTAAATCAAAGATAACCAAAGAGCGTAACAAAAAATAGTAATGGTTGTCCAGGGAGTTTTTCTGCCGAGTCAGCTTACCTCCAGTGGCTCTTGCAATTCTCTTGAGGTCAGCCTTTTTACATCTTCTCACGCCCATAGCACCAGCTTCCACAAAATATTTGAGGCAGAGATCATCAATGCCACCACTGACTAACACAACATTGGCTCCAGCTCCTAAAACCTTTTGTATTCGCTCTTTAGTGATATCTGCCTCCCTGTATATGATATAAAGCACATTGTATCACTGCCTATATTACATAAACTGCATTGTAAACCCAATTCCCTTCTCTTCCTCTAACCAAGTCTAGAAAATGTTATCTAGTCAGTTTGGTTAAGGAATAAGAGTTGCCATCTGCCATGGCTTCAGAGTTAGTGTTTTTGAGATAGAGCTGTCCTGGCCAGGGACATTGTGTTGTGTTCTTGGGCAAGACACTCAACTCTCACAGTGCCTCTCTCCACCCAGGTGTATAAATGCGTACAGGCGAATTTAATGCTGGGGGGTAACCTTGTGATGGACTAGCATCACATGCAGGGGTGAGGAGTGGGGTAGAAATACTCCTAGTGACCTAATGCTACAGAGAAACCAGAGATAAGATGCCTGACCTGATGATATGGGTTACATGGCTTGCATGCAGACTTTACCTTTAACCTTACCTTTTTCTAATGGCTTCCAGCTGTTCAGGATCTTCCACTACAACACTCACTCCAAGGTGCATTTTGGCCTTTTGAAGACTGAAATCCAGACAGGCAATTCTGGCATTTTCTACCCGTTTTGGCATAGCTGCAAAATAGAGAAGATTAACTAAATAAAAAAAAAAAATGACAAACCATTTCAATGTTCAAACACAGTTCCAGATTGTAGCATTTTGAAGGAAAACAAATATTAATGTGAAACTGAAGAAAAATTTTAATAACACACTTTACACTTTACCTTGAGAAGCTATGGTACAGTTCAGAGCATAGCCATCAACAAGAACACTCTCCTTCAAGCTGCCACCATGTGCCTTTAGCACATTAATAGCCTTGATTGGATATTTCGCTTCACCCTTGTTTCCTGCACGTTTGACAGCCATAACAGCATCGACCACCATCTCACTAAAGAAATCCGATACCTGGCCAATCAGCTTTGAGGACATTGATGTCTTAGCCACATTAATGATACTTTCTTTTCCAAGCTCGTCAACATTGATTGTTAAGTGTTCTTGGATGTACTTGCAAGCTTCCCTGATGAAAAAAAACAGTAAATCATACATGAAACATTTAAACAAGAAATGCTTTAATTAAAAAAGAAAGTAGAGAACATTTCCTGTGTTTCCACAGACTTATAAATAGAAACACAAGTGGAAGTTTGGGAAAACAAGAAATGCTGTGGGAACACAAGCCAATAGGTGAGTGTTCCACAGGTTTTTCGAGTTCTCCCAGACTTTCACAAGTGCTTCAACCTATAACATGATAAAAACACAACAAAAATGTGTGCTATCTTGTTTAGGAAACAGCCTGAAGAAAACAACAAACAACATGACTAAGACAACTTTTCTGTCTTTCTATCGAGTCATAGAAACACAATTTTTAACCAATAAGCGTGAATATTTTCATTGGTCTATTTTCTAAAAGAGATTGCAAGAACCCTTACTGTTACACCTTTTAAGAGCTCAAAAAGTAAAACTTAATCCTCAACCAAAACTTTGAAAATAGCTTTTTCCAAACTCAAGTATCACCTTGTACGAGACCCAGCAATGCATACTTACTTGCATGCTAATCTGTAGCCACTAATGATGGATGTAGGGTGAATCTTCTGCCTCACAAGTTCATTGGCACCTCTCAAAAACTCTGCAGCAAGAATCACGACTGACGTTGTTCCGTCTCCAACTTCCTGGTCCTGAAGATCAGCCAGCTCACAAAGAACCTTAGCAGCAGGATGTTCCACTTCCAGCAACTTCAGTATTGTTGCTCCATCATTTGTCACAGTGACATCCTAAAAAAAAATGTTTTTATAAGCAGGGGGTGGTGTCAAAGGAGTTAAACATGTCAACTTTTTCAATCCCCAAAACAGACTAAGAAAATCAACCAAAAAATATTAGAGAAAATTAATGACACCTACAACGTGTGGAAATGGCACATTGTGCAAGTACTACATAAAACTCTGAATCCCACCATCAGACAAACACAACTTACCTTCTCCCAAAAATATAACTAATATCTGTAACAACCATGTGATGTCTTGCAAGTGGCAATACTAATGTTAACTTACTATTGTGCTGTTCCAGAAAATATCCATACTCCCCCCAACGGAAGGGATTGGAATTTCCAGATGGGTGGAGGGGGGGGGGGTTGGAAAAAAAATCCCTTCTGTGGGGGAGGTGTGGATACTTTCTGGATATGCACATTATGAACTCGATAGAACATAAAATCGTGTAATATTATTAAGATGTTTCATCTTATAAATGCTCTCGTGACAAGATAAAACATCTGCAATGCTATATGTTTTACTTTTTGTCCAGTACAGTGTGCTTACGGGTAATACTACATGACATGAACCAGTACAGTATTTGTACTTTGTGTACTAAATAAAATAAATTGAGTTTCTGGTTACTTCATCCAGGCCTTTTCAATATTTTTTTGTTTTTAAAATGACTGTGAACCTTGAGTAAAGTAGGACTTTCTGTCAAGTTACTTTTTGTGAATGGACTCATAGCAGTGGAAATTAAAACCATGTGATACCGGCGAATTTCAATTCACTAGATCAAAGTCGAGCTTCTGAAGCGAATCAACACTGCTGTAAGTCTAAGGAGCATTTTAGATATTTTAAAACTAGATAGCTCTCCAGAAATTTCAAAATTTCGACCCACAAAAAACTCCAGAGACATCAAAACTCACCCCGATATCATCCACTAACATTTTGTCCAATCCCACAGGACCTAAGGAACTTTTGACAATGTTTGCGATGGCTGTCACCGCGGTAACTGTAGATAAAATCACACAATAATTCAATCAGGGTAGAGATTCATTCAATATCTTTCGTTCTGCCTTACCATTCTGCGTCCTTATGTTTTCTCCAGTGGTTCGTTCGCCACCAACGTGCAGTAACTCAGCAGAACTTGGTGCAGAAGACATTTTGAAAAACTTCGAGCATGTGTTGAACAGCCGCAAGGCATCATGGATAGTGGGAGTGCCGACTAGTTACCAGGGGACATCGAAAAGGCCAGTCCAAAACAAAAGATAAGATGGCTGAGCTCATTCCAACAAAGATCGAACGGTTTATTCTACATAACCGCGTTAAAATCGCCTTTGATTAGCTTTACGAAAACATGACGTGCTTCCAGCTTGGTTGGCTGATCTTGGGAATCATTTTCGTCGCCGAAAATGGACAAAGATCGGTTGTTTCTGGAATGCCAGTGGATAAGTTTGGCGGAAGTGGGCTGTGCGGCTTCAATTTCAGGGCGATCGGAGCCGAAGCAGAACGCTCTCATATTGCTTTTGAGGTTGTCTATCGAGATGCAAGTTCTGTCCTTGCCAATAGTACTAACTGCAATATGGAGTTCTGGCACGACGCAACTGGACTCAGCGTGCCTCCAGGAAATAAAAGATCATTGGATAAACTTGAAGTTCAATTGACAAGAGAGAATGCCAAACTGTTCAAGGTATATAAGGAAATAATAAAATTTATCAATCAGATTAATAATTGCTTTTTTGTCAGATGAAAGTACTCCTAAATTAGCTTTCAACGATTGGGATCGATATGATTTGTATTGGGCAATGTTTATTGTTAAGCAGGCTAATTAATGCGAGCACTCATTCGTAAATAGATCAGAGGACCACATATGATATAAGCTTATGCCCTCGGACTTGTTTAATGAAGGTAATAAAATGGATCTGATTTAAATAACTCGCTAGGAATGCTTATCGCTACTTATTGCATTTATTGTTCGTTTTTCATAGTG